AGGACCTACAAAAAAGTCTCTTGGAGCCGAGCGCAAAGTCGCACAGGAGGTCGGCCATTTTGGTCCAAGTACTCGATTTAGTGGTTTTTGCACACGTTGTTTGGAGAATGATGCCCCATCGCCCTTTTCACCGATTGCCTTCAAACTTCTGCTATATACTCTTAAGACATTAGGAAAAAATTTCAACCGTCAGATTTTAAATAAGTATAAATGTATGGGCGTGGCTAAGCCTCAAATTTTGACTTGTCGCCATGCCACTCTTTTTTTCACAGCTCCCCATTGGACTCCTTTTACCCAATCATCAGCAATCTCTGGCAAATAGCAGCAGATAAGTTTAGGTCACTTGGTCTCCAGTACTGGCAGGTTTCGAAAAAAAGGCAGGGCTTTGAGAGCATGGTGAAATTCGCCATCACGCCATGGAAATATGTTTGCCTCTCATTTCTTCATTTATCGTGATATTGCCACAAAATTTCTGGTGAGTGATCCTAGTCTGACCCCTAATAAAAATTGATAGCTGAGGTCTGTGGGTGTGGTCTATTTTCTGAAATAGCATCCCCTAGAACCATTAAAACTGTCAGCCCCAAGCCATGCTTTGACTGAGGATCACGCAATTTGGTACACTAATGTAGTGTGTCAGGACCTACAAACAAGTCTCTTGGAGCCGAGCACAAAGTCACACAGGAGGTCGGCCATTTAGGTCCAAGTACTCGATTTAGTGGTTTTCGCACACGTTGTTTGGAGACTGATGCCCAGTCGCCCTTTTCACCGATCACCTTCAAACTTCTGCTATATACTCTTAAGACAAATGGGGAAAAAATTCAACCGTCGGATTTTAAATAAGTGTAAAGGTGCGGGCGTGGCAAAGCCTCAAACTTTGACCTTTCGCCATTACATTACTTGACTTAATAACTCCCATGTGCATGATCAGATCTATATCAAACTTTGGTTGTGTGAACACTGACCACATCTCAAGACAATGACAATGTGGACAGCTGACATAACCTAAGCCCCGTCCCTGACTACAGGAAGTCTATAGTTTTATGGTGAAATACCCATATATGTCTCCTCTAATTTAGTCAACATGACACTAAGGTCTTGCACTGTCTTCATGATGCTGTAATGACCATTCAGATCTGATAGCTTTCCAGAAAGGGAGGGGCTTTGATGCCTTGTAACTTCCACAAGTGGCCTCCGATCTGCCCAAGATCTGCAATCAACAATCATGCCCTTTAGCCAACGAGGCTCAAACGGTTGGTGAACGTTGTAAAATATCACCACAGCGCCCCCTACATACCTTTAAAATTGTAATAACTCCTACAGAGCAGGTCGTAACTGCACCAAACTTGCTATGTGTCATCACACAAAGGCACCCAACACAATCCTGTGGTAATTGGTTGATATCGCTTTAGCTCCACCCCCTGACATATATTAGGCCCTGAATAACACATGCATGATGCAATTCACACCAAACTGCACACAAATGACTGTTATCAACCTACAAACTTCTTCATGGAGTATTTACTAAATTTGGGACAGCGCCCCCTAGATACAATCAAACCTTTGTAACTTCTGCAAAAAAGCTCCAAACTATATCAAACTTTGTGGGAGTCATCATACAACTGCACTTAACACATGTATGTGCTCACTTGTCTAAATCACTTTAACTCCGCCCACTTAAAGCTTTTTGTCTCTAGATGACCCATGCAACGTTTGATTGATGCCAAATTAACAGGAAACCAACTTTGATGACCAAAGATGACCTCTATGGCATTTAGTTGTAAATGGTCACAGCGCCCCCTAGATGGGTTCAAACTTTATTAACTTCTAAAGACAAAGTCAGAATGGCATTATACTTGGCTTGTGTCATCACGTGACTGCACCAAACACATTGATGTGGTTGTTGGTTCAAACCCCTTTAGCTCCACCCTCTGTCAGCTCTCTGGCTCTAGATTACACACACGACATCTGATTAATGCCAAAATGACAGAAAACCATCTTTGTCAACCAAAGCTGACCACAATGGGATATTTCTGTAGTTGGTCACAGCGCCCCCTAGATAACTTTAACCTTCGATAACTTTACAAAACGTGGTCAGAATAGCATTAACTTTGGTCTGTGTCACAACACCACCAGTGTGGTAGAGTATCCCCTAGTGGTGAGATGTGTAATTTAATGGTGGGCTCAGAGGAGATGCTGAACCAGGGTGAGGTGCGGACGAGGAGACAGTTTGCGGTTTCTGATGTCGGGGTGGGTTTCTGTTCCGTGGACGTGCCCGGGTGCTCCAGGCTGCCAGCCAGGCCGGAGCGGCGTGGAGCTGCAAGGGCCGAACAACGTTGCTTGCAGCTTTAATTGTTATTGTTATTATTATTATTAAAACAGCTGAAAACTCACATGTTCAAGCTGGCTTCATCACCACCCTCTCCTTATTCTGCTCCAACTCTGCCTTTCCCGGGATCCCCTGATTTCCTCTTTCTCTTTTCTTACATTTTTTAATCACAATGTTATTTCTCATTTTGACAAAATAAAATATATTTTTGATATTTAAAATGTTTTGTTCTTGGAAGCGCCTTGTGATTTTTGTCGTGAGAGGCTATAAAAGGTCATTTTCTTTCTTTATTATTCATCTGAGCTGCAATTTACAACACTGTCTAATTTTCATTATCTTTAGCTTTTCATCATTTTATTGTTTAAATCTTTTATTTTTTACTTTCTTTTTTTATGGATTATTACTGTTTCAAGTTGTTTCAGTGATCTTTGTGGGACTTCCTGTCTTTAACAGAGGGGTACCAACTGTTCTATCCACTTCTGTAGTATTTTGACCAGAACTACTGATATGTGGGTCTGGGTGTGTTTGTGCTGCCTTTGGGATTTGTAGGAAATATAAAAGACAACTTTGTTAAAGGTAGAAAAAGGAACTAAGGGTTGAAAAACACAGAACTTTGAGAAAACAATGAAACCAGAGACAGTAAAAAAGAAATTGACAAATGAGTTTAGCTGTGCAGGTGTGCTTGTTGCACACATGTACTCGTGCACTCCAACTCCAAGTACATCCATCATTGTGTGTCCACATCCTCAAATACATTCGTGTAGGTGCAAACTTCTCGTGCCGGTGCATTGTTTTCTTTGATCTGGCCTTTCTTTTTCTTGGCTCAGCAGTAGTCGTAATTGGTCTCTGATGGGAATGACCCACTGGGTTCTGATTGAGTGAAACAAGCTTTGGATGGCTTCCTTAAATATTTCAGGCCAGCCAGACGTGAGGTCTCGCTGCTCTGGCCTGAGGCTGAGCCAGGGCTGCCGTTTAGCACGCCGCTCTGCCCTCACAGAAAGCAGGATAAAGAGGCAGTGTGATGGACATAAAGCGTGTGTGTTAAGAGATATTAGGATGTGAATGTAAATGTGACAGCAGCCATGACACATTTCTGCCAAACTGCTGCGCATTCATGAGATGTCATTAAACGGCTGTCCACTGTTACTGCAACTGGACTGCGTCTCTATTTCACAGCAAATTGAGCTGCCTGTTTGATGCACTGAACTTCTGCCTCATTATGACACCCTTTGTCTGCACCTTAGACATTTCATTCTACACACTGGATCTGCAGCAATACATCAAATAATTATCATTTGAACACTTTCCCAACACTTTTCCCCTCCTGCACCTCATTTTGTCTTTTCTACACACAAACTCTCACTTCTCTCCATCCTTTCTTCCTCTGCATGTGTCATTTTCTCTTCTCTCTCTCACGCTCTCTGTCCCATTCGTGTGACTTCCCTGGATCTAAGGCAGGAGTGAAAAAAAAGATAATTCCCTGGTTCTATGCACAGGGAGAGAAAAGAGAGGGAGTGCAAGCAAAAATAGAGAAGGTTACCTTTCATGTTCAGTTTTAAAGGCAAGTTTGAGATTTCCCTGAGATGATTAAATAGGAAACGTTCCTGACAAGGTCACAGAGACTTACAGACACAGACAAAGAGATACACGCCACGCATGAAGAAGCACATACAGGGCGTGGTTAGAACACCTTTGGGAGAGTTTGCCTTGGCGTTCTCATAAAATTGCAAAACAAAGAAGAAAAGAGGAAAACACCCATTCCTGCTGAGGAAAACCCACCAAATTCCCAGGATCTGTGTTTACACTGTGCTTCTCCTTCCCTGTGAGGCCTGATGACACAGGCAGCTACAGCTGATTTGTTTTTTTTACTCTGGCATCTATCACCTTTCATTTATTTTGAGAACACAGACTTAAATGATTCATGAGTCTGTCTTATGCTTGTCTTTATTCTGCATGCCATGGTCTCACAGACATTTAATGTTTGTGTGCATTTTTTCAGCCTTATTAGGGTTTAACTTTTAGCTTTAAGCAGAACCGTTTCTCCAGAGACCAATTATCTGACAGGGTTGAGGAAGCTCTCTTGTGCCACAGAGAGGAGAATGTGCATTTCTGACAACACTGCAGCATGTTTCCTCTGGCGTTTGGATCGTGTTTGCGTGTGTCCTGCACATGCTTGCCTATGTGCATGTGTATTATTCATCATCATAAAGCCCCTTGGCTCAGATATTAGGACCAAACATTGCTTTTCTGATCAGATTTGTTGCACGTGAATGCATAAGTAATGTTGGGGTGGGGGTGGGGGGGGTGGGGGGTTGAGAAACTGCGAACTGCTGTCAGTGGTGATACTAAAGGATTCTTGATGCGTCCCTGTCACTCGGTAACTGTAGCAGAGACTGACAGAAGTGTTGTGGGACAAAGTGGAGTTGGCGTTTTTGAATGAGTTATCTTGAATTCCGACTGCGTCCGTCTCCAGAGGCGTGGATGAATGGCCTGATTCTCTCTCCACCTCCTTTTTGCTCTGTGACTTTCCAACCCTCTCTCCTCCTCTCCCTTTTTACACCCAAACTTTCACTCCCTCCTCTTTCACCAAAATCCTTACATTGTGCCTTTTTTAACACATCTCCCCTCCTCAAGCCCTCCCCCTTTCTTGTTTTCATCTTTTTCTGCCCTCAGACACAGACCTTTTATTTCTTCCCACAACTGTTTAAAACTTTTGGGGGGCTGCAACAACGGGCCGTACTCCAGCTATGTTTCCATAGTGAGGATAGGTCCTCACACTCTTTGCTGTCCAAACCTCTTCTGGTGAGTGTTTTCCTTCGCACTTGCCACCCATTTTTTTGCTGTTTTTATTACATCTTCTCTAAAGCTCACATTTTTCTGTCTACTAAAACTCTGAATTGTCTGATCAGAAATGTGGCTTCTGTGTGAGACCAATAATTTTGTTTAGCCATGGAGGAACTGGGTCTTTATGACTCATGACTCACCTGCTGCCCTTTCTCTTTTGTTTATTTATTTATTGCTTTATTGGTCTAAGCCCAAACAAATCAACACATCACTCACAATAAGATTGTCCCTTATAACAAAGTAGAGCTCTATATCTGCAGAGGGAAACAAAATTATAAAAATATCTTATTTTGAAGGGATATTAAATGATTAAAAGTTTCAAAAATGAAACAATTTAGATGCCATGTTTCCTTCTACGGGAGCCCATGAGGACAAAATGCATTTGCTGATTTGTAACAAACGATTACAAAACTTTCACCATTCATAAACGTTGTTTTATACATTGACCTCTTCACTAGTTGCCAGTGATGAAAGGTAGTCTGATGTGTGTGTGCTATTTTACTGAAGTTTGCACTCCCTAGAGCTTTTTGACCCTAATGGGCATCCTTTGCAAGGCTTACTCCAACACAAAATTACAGCTTGCTTGCAACAATTTAGGTATCTACTGCCCCCTATTGCCAGGTAAAATACACACTGTCACTTTAAGTCATGGACCCATTACCAATACTCGCGCTTGCACCCTTGCGCCCTTCAATTGCACGTTCCCGGCCAGGGGTGCGAGTGCGTAAGGTGTCTCAATTCTCAAGTGCGGAAGTTGAACATGCCCCCATTGCACCATAAATCTGCACTTCACCCAAGTCCACAGTGATGCGGACCTTGGGCAAGGGTGTTAATCTCGCCATTGCTGCAGGAGATAAGGCTCAAGTTCCTTTTCTGAAAATATGTATTTTCTAATGAAATCAGTTAAATTTGGGATGATTAGTTGATGCTCTAAAACTTTTAGACAAAGCAGCAATAAATGTAAATTTATTTCAAATAACTGGTTGGCTGTTTGTTTACAAGTTGTTAATAAAGCTTTAAGAAAAGTATTACAGCGACCTTCTCAAAACTCCCACGCTGCAATGGATTGTGGGTAATACCTTTTGCCAGAGTCTGTATCGATGCAGACTTGGGTGAAGTGCAGATCAAGGGTGCAAAAAGGCCGTGGTCAACTTCTGCTCTTGAGAATCGGGACACTCTACGCACTCGCACCCCTGGGCGGGATTGCGCAATTGAAGGGTGCAAGCGTGGAAGTGCGAGTTTTGGGATTGGGCCTAAGACTAGCTGAGAGTGAAAAGGATACTGTTGGGTAATCTCTCAATGATGGTTTTCATAAAGATTGTTTTTTCTGATGTTTCTTGTTAATGACCTCTCCTTTTAGACTAGAGGAGAAATAGCTCACACAATCTGGGGACTCGAGGAGCTAACCAGAGGATTGGAAAGTGCCTGGAGAGAAGCAGGTGGGTCGAATCGGGTTATGGCTCCTACTTGTCTGTCTTTCTTTGTTGTTAGCAGTGTCCTCCCATTCCTGCTCAGTGCACACATGCAGACACCACCACACAACACGTAGTGACCAATCAATTGTTGGAAGAGAAAACAGGGGGTGAGAGCAGCTCAGACTGTTCTCATCAAAGAACCATTTGATTCACTGACATGTCACTTTGTCACTGAAGAGTAGGAGGCAAGGCTGGTCCTGGTACAGGTGAGAATAGGTTGAACTTCTCAGAACGGCTTCACAGAGATAATTGAGAGACTAGTTTCCTTGCTATTTGCAAGTCACTCAGAACAAAGCAAGTTCTGGTGATTTCACAAAAAAGCAGATATTGTGGATCAGCAGCCTTGCAAGGAAGAGCTGGTGATGCCCAGCGGAGCTCCCACTGTAGCCGATGAGCAGATTGGAGACAGGTGTGACTCTTCAGCTCCAAGGGAGGTAACAGCGCCAGCACCCAGAGAGCAGAGCAATATGACCGGCCCACAGAAGCCCTGTCCACACGTAGCCGGGGATCTGCCAAAACGTAGATATTTTTCTACGTTTTGGCCTGTCATCCACATGAAAATGGATTTTTTTCACACGAAAACGGATCTTTTTAAAAACTCCGGCCAAAGTGAAGATCTGTGTTTTCTCTGTTTCGGGTGTCTGCGTGTGGACAGACAAAACCGGAGTTTTAAGGTCCGCAACGTCACTTTCCGCGACAGAAAAATGCTGACATCACGTGTGCGACCTGTATTTACACTAGCCGACAGCATGGATGCCCTTAGAGCTGCGCTCGCTTTATCAATTGTCCAAGCGCTTTTTGCTTGTTTGTTTTTGCAAGAGGAATTACTGCTCCTTGCGGAAGACCACAGACGAAGGACGAGGTTAAGAACGGGGGAAGTACTGCCGCCTACAGGTCTGGCATGTCCTTAACAACGTATTTATCCGGGTACGTGTGGACAGTTTGTTTTTAAAACGAGGTGGTGTGGATGCAAGTTTTTGGAGGGGTGGATATTCGTTAAAAAAAAAAACCCTGGCTACGTGTGGACAGGGCCTTAATCACCAGCAGGACAGGGCAGGCAGAGAGAAGAAGAAGGAGAGAAAACAGGGATTGTAACAAATAAATGACACTGAAATTTGCAAAGATCAGTAAACCTTAAAGTAAAATCTTGAGATGATGTGTATTTTCATTAAAAACAATATGATAAAATATATATGGTGTCTCACCAAAATACTTTAATATGCATTTTACTTGATTCCCAAAGATGAATAAGAAAGATGATTTTCATCTTTTAACCAAAAAAGGAAGCAATGCTGGTTTATTTTCCATCATTCTTTTTAAAGACTTTGTTTTTTACCGTTATTCCTTCTACAATGCTGAGATCTGTTTTTTATGGGGTCATTAACTTGGAGTTTGACATTCCAGATTCTGTCTTTTCCAGTAAATTACTTAGAAAAAAATTTGACAGGGGTTTTTTACGTTCCCACAAACCCCCGAATGTGCAAAAGCCTCTGTGATTTATGTAGAGCTAAAATAAATGTCCATCAGAAGTAAGATCAACCCTTGGGGAGTGATTTACATACAGCGATGATGATCAGGTGTGCAGAATCACTAATGGAATACATTAACTGGTTTGTAGTACAGCCCTCTGGACACATCCCAGTTTTCAGTTCAAGGTAAGTCCTCAAATGCAAACACGTATCACATTAGAATTTTGAATAAAGGAAGAAAACATATTCATTCAGGACTATTCTGTGTATTTTCGTTTGCTTAAAGCGAAATTGTGTGCTGTTGCTGTGTTGTGGGACTTCCCTGTGCTTGCATACTTGGAAAAGCTAGAGGCAGAGAGAGCACGTCTTCCCTTTTACATGAAAAACTTTAGGCAGGAAGACAGAAAGCCAAAAACTGTGCTTGAAGAGAACAGAGCAATCATCAGTGACAGACATCACAATGATTAAATCAAAAACAGGATGAAAAGGTGGAGATGCCATGCCAGTCCATTTTCAAGAGCTTTACAGAAGATGAGGCGAGAGGTAGACAGGATGGCACAATGAAAGTTTGCTAGTAGCATGATTGAAGAGGAGTCAGCCTAACAAGGAGTCAAAGAAAACAAACTAAATCAATAAGATGACTGAAAAAATCTTTATTTGAATACAAGGCTGAGATTGGCTTTTAGTAGGAAATAAACAAATGCACACACAAACAGAACATGGTCAACTGAAAGACCTTGAGAGCTTGTAGAGGGGAAAGACAGAAGATCATCAGCAAAAAATGGAGTCTAACTGCAGGCTAAGCCTATAAAAGAAAGTTGAGGCTGGATAGAGGTAGCATTGGATGCAAGGTAAAGCAGCTGGGAACCTGTTTGGTTTACTTGGTAATCGTGGAGAGGAACAACTTTCTTTGGGAAGGAAGCTCAAGCAGAACTAAGACGGAGAAACGTTTACATCAACAGGGACAGGGAAGAGACACAAACACAGAAGGGTTGGAATTGTCATCATGTCCATGGATAATCACAGGAGGCAAAGTTAAAATACAAACAGTGAAATAAAGAGTGTAGGCCTGTTGGCCTGACCAGCCATGCCAATGCTTCCCTAAATTGAAGCAAAGGGCCTGCTAACGATAAATGGTAAACTACAGCGTCGCGCGGTACAGTCGCCATTTCTGTCTTTTTTCTGGTTGGTTGTTTTTTCAAATTCAATTCATATTCAAAAATACTTTATTAATCCCAGAGGGAAATTCAAATGTTTCAGCACAGACAATTCCAAGATCAGACAGACATACATGGACACATGACAAGAATTGGTGACTGTGGTCATTCGCAACATGAGCCGCGCTACCGTAATAGATCAAGAGGGTTTATATGAGGATAGAGTCAGGGGGAGGGGACAAAAAGGCACATCAGAGCTAACCCCGACAGAGAGGATAGCTTTGCTATGCAAAAAAACACCTCAGACAGATATGCACACAGACTTCAGACGATACACAGCATAAGTGTCCACTAGGTGGGGATGTAGGGTTGGGGACTCTCCACACATCAGTGCATGCAGCTGCAATGAGCAGCGCTCGCCACCTCCGTTTGGACAGGGGAGGGAGGTAATTGGGTTAGAAAGCACAGTGACTCCTGGAAACGGTTCCACGGCCTTCACCGGTCACAGTCCCGGCCAGGCTGAGATAGGGAGGCAGAGTTGCCATGGCGACAGCAGCATTCCACATTTCGTCTGAGGGGGAGTATTCAATTCAGCCTTACAGGCTCAAGGGCACCAGATTCAGATAAGAACTTGTTTTGGGGCCAGACAGAGATCATTTCCTCTCTGCCTTAAAGTTCTGTCAGTCTTCAACCCCTGCAGGTTCCAATAATGGCATTATCAAACTATTCCAATCCGTGTGGATCCATCAACTCTCTCCTTGATCGAATCAACCTTCTGTGCCAGAGCCTGAATCTCAGCCAATGTTCAGAGCTTACGACTCATCTCAACAGTTGTATGAGTCTGTGAGTTTACAGCGTGATGCATTCCATCCCTGAGCTCCGGGATTAAGCCAATATTCCTTGACAGCTCATTAGATTTCCGGTACGCCAGGTAACCACTCAGGCCAAACAGCAGGAATCCCGACACCAAAACGGTGTTTGAGCTGGCTAGTCCCGCTCCTCATGTTGCTCTCTGCCTCTGAGTACCCAGACTCGTCCTCTGCTTACACAACATATTTTCATACCCAAAGCATCGAAAAATGACTAACGGTGACCAACGCGCTGTGCCAGAGCGTCTCTTTCCGACGCCCACGGTAAAACGGACATTTCACCGACATTTAACCTCTAACCTCTAGCGATTTAGCCTTCCCCTCACCCCCATCCTAACCTTAACCCAGTTTCTCGTTATAAATTTCCCGTTAACCGTGTTTGAGAGGAGCGATACAACAACAAACAAAGTTTTGCATGTGCAAGTGTGTTAAGGTTAGGATGGGGGTGAGGGGAAAGTAAATTGCAAGAAGGTAAAGGTCACAGTTTGCTAAAACCTCCTCTGTGCCACGGGGCTCGGAGAGAGGACGCTCTGGCACAGAGTGTCGCCTCCCGACGCTCTGGACCTCCCAGCGCGTCTACGCTTGGCCACCCATTGTCATTTTTCGACACTTTGGGTGTGAGAATGTGTTGGTCTACAGGATGTACTCCTGTAATCTTGGGCTGAAGCTGGTCTAATTTCTTTCACTTATGGAATAATAGTAAACTAGAGAATGAGAAATGTGTCAGGAACGTTTCCTCAGACTTCCTGTAGAATCATGTTTCTGCACTAAACAGAGCCTTGTTGTTTAATTAGATCAAATGCAATTATTCTTTAAAGGACTATCAGCATACTGATCAGAGAGGGGTGATATTATAATGCTAACAACATCATAATCACTCGTGGGGAATAGCGTATTAAATTTGCATGTCATGAAATGATTTGATGTTATTTGATTGGAAGTCTATTGTCACCAAAGAGGTTAGTGGCTGGTTGTTATTATGGACCTTAAGTCACAAAGGGTTTTGTTGACTGCAGCATTTTAACAATATTTGGGATTCCGTTTGGCATCAACCTCAAACATGAGACCCATCAGAAAACTAATGATTAGATTTCTTTTGTCTTTTTGTGTGAGTTGTATTTGATTTTAATCTCCTTTACTCAATGAACTACCCCTAAAACGTAATTCTTGCTTCACGCTAGAGGTAGACTAACTAATCTGCCAACTAGATTTATTGGCTGACTTTTATTAGCTGACCATAAATATTTCCAGAGTAAACAATGACAATGTGCTTAATGAAGTGCAATGGCGCCTACAGTCAACAAGTAATGATTTTTAAAGCAACACTAAAGAATTTTTAACACTATAAAATATTGCTTTCAAACTGGTTTCGGTGGTTCTTCAGTCACAAACTTGAGCAACTTCACTTTGAACCACACTCTGTAGCCCTCTGCTGACCAGAACCTGCACTTAAAAACTTTTGGTGGGCCAGCAAGGGAGGAAAGGTCACCTGGCAACCACATCAGACTTCCTGTCATCACTGGCAATGAGTACAGAGGTAAATGTGTAAAACAGCGTTCATGAATGGTGAAAGTTTTGTAATTGTTTGTTACAAATCAGTAAATGCATTTGGTCCTCACGGGCTCCCGTAGAAGGAAACACGGCGTCTAATCTCCGTGTGGTTCGGCGACTGCAATGTTGATGATCTCAGCAAACTACAACGGATTGTTAAGCAGCTGCCAAGATCACAGGAACACCTTTCCCTCTGTTACAGGGCATCTTCCACAACCGCTGCATCAGTAAGGCCTCCGGCATCGTGCATGACCTCATTACCTCACATGGACTCTTTCCTCTCCTTCCGTCCGGCAGATGCTACCGCAGTCTCACGGCACGATCCCCCAGACTACAAAACAGCTTTTTCCTACGAGCCATCGGACTCCTGACTCACTACCAGTCTTCCCCCTATGCACACCCATGTAAACTGTTAACCGACTCTTTTACACTTGACACACCACTGCCCCTGTAAGACGTGCGGCTCTATGGACAATCTTTCTATGGTCAGTTTTACTCCAGGTTTACAAGCTGCTACACTGGTCCCTTTAGATCAATCCAGACTGTAAATCTTAAATTGTAAACTCTAATCGTAACGTCTCTTGATCCTCTGAGACTTAAGCGAAGGTTGTTTTTCACTCCTTTTTACATCTCTTAGCTTTATTTTTTACACTGACGTAAATGGAGCCCTGTTGTCTCGTCTCTCTGTATACCGCACTGGATGTAGCAGAGATGACAATAAACTTTACCTTTACTTGACTAATATGGCGTCCCCAGAGTCTTAGACCAGCTCCCGAGTAATTTAGACCTGATTTTTATGCTTATATGTTACAAAGCCACCAACATTTTTGAACAACTAGACATAATTATTTGATTTTTAACAACATTTTGATGGATATTTGCAGAGATTACCGGTGAAAATTACATGTTGTCTCTTTAAGGCTTCTGAAGATAAACTAATACTGTACATAAACAGTGGAAAACTTTGGAGGGGTCAACTGAGAACAGTCTAGTCACTTAACTGAAATGTATTCATCACTTGTATAGGTTAAATAGCTAAACAATAACAAACCGATTAATCGAAAAAATTATCAACAGATTAATCGATTATGAAAATAATCGTTAGTTGCAGCCCTAGTCTAGTGTGCCCTGCAAGGTGTCTTTTCAGCCGAGGAGAGGAAAATATGCTTCCAAACATAATGAGTACTTGTGTTGAATAATCATGACTATTGGCTTCAGCCTTAGAAGAACCTGTGTCAGTAGACCTCTCCTGCATGCTCTAAACGAGGGAGCATTTTGAGCTCGGGAAACAATTTGGAAAGCTATTTTTACTCTTGGCAATTAATAAACTTTTAGGAACGTCCATCCATTTGTCAAACCCAATTCATCTTGTTCAGAATAGTGGGGGCTTTGATGTCACAGTCAGAGACAGGGTACACAACGGACAGGTCGACGTTCCATCACATGGTCACATTCAGCTGTGTGTATGTCCTAATTTATTAGAAATATCGAGCTGGGTAATACTGCAGCATCAGGGTAGATGTATAAGCTGATTTATATGTCCTAGATGGCAATTATTTTCTCACTTTTGACTGAGATGAGATGCTGAAACACTGTCTCAGCATTTTAGCACAACACTCTATTTGGAAGCATGAGCCCAGAGTGGGAACATCATCTATAATTTATGCCTACTTATGAGAAGTCGATCTGTCAGGGTTAGTTGTGTGTCAGTGCATTTATCTTGGTTTATTCAGGCTGGTTTAGGAGTTTGAGAGTGAACGTGGGCAATCAAACAACATTTTTAATAATCGATTACACTTTGTTACCAAAATCCCCACACTAACCTTTGAATATTTACCCAAACTAAAGTTTTTTGGCCAGTTTTAAACAAGAGAAACTATCCTTTTGATAATTTAGTAGAAGTTACACATTGAAAAGAAGAGTGGCAACTGTTGATATGAGACATTTAGGCAAACTAAAACTTGATGATTGCCTTCATTATTGTTCACGGACGGGAGGATTGTACAAAGGATAGTTTTGTTTTCAACAAGAGGACTTGTTCCCTCTTGCAAAACAGGAAAAAGAGTAACAACAGTCATTTCGACTCATTCCTGCCAGGAGCCAGGATTAAAGTCTCTTCCACAATTATTTAGTTATTGTGCAAGCAGAGACACATCAGCCTTGACACTACCTTACTTTTATTCCTCCAGGCAAAGAGGGATAGATGATGTGAAGGAAGACCAATAAACATTTTGTGTTGGCTCCTACTTGTGCTCATGTGTTGACAAATTAGCATTTTTGCTAGAAAATGCTCACATAATGTTTACACGTCCATGCGTTATAGTGACAAGATACAGTTAGGTAAAATGAGAAAAAAATAAAAAGTCCTTTAATGTATAAAAAGTAGGGAAAAAGCTATTGATTATCAATAGTGTTGCTAACATGTCCAGAGGGCCTGGAGAACATAAAGAGTCTCAGTGAAGTTGTTCTGTGCGTGCTGAGATAAACAAGCCCACACTGTGAGAGATGTGAACACAGTTAAATATTAATCTAATCATCTATTTTTAATTCCGATGATAAAAAAACAAAAACACCATGTAAAGTTTTTGTTCCATCTCTGTGGTGTGAATTTTGTGTGACCCTAATTTTCTTTGTTATCCTTATCATCAAACGCATTCATGTTTATCCATCCAAACCACAACCTCTCTCTCTCTCACCTACGTGCACACACACACACACACACACACACACACACACACACACACACACTCCAGCATAAGCAGAATCTCATGATGCAGTACTACCACTCCACCCATACACTCAAAGATACACACGTGTCCGCAAACAACAACAAAAACTTTGCTTGCCGACAACCATCTAAACCAGTCTCACACACTTTTGTGCGTTCCCACACACAGAGTCAGTGCTCCGTCGCCCACGCTTTGGTCGCTCTGGCCAGGAGATTCTGTCATAACTCAAAGGCTGACCTTTCATAAGCCACTGCTTCAGACAGATGAATAGCCCCATAACACCGTGTCTATGTGGCATATATGTGTGGTGTGTAAGTGTGTGTGTGTGTGTGTGTGTGTGTGTGTGTGTGTGTGTGTGTGTGTGTGTGTGTGTGTGTGTGTGTGTGTGTGTGTGTGTGTGTGTGTGTGTGTGTGTGTGGGTGGGTGTGAGAGAGAGGTAGACTTGTGATGACAGTGTGGTGCTGTCACTGAGTAAAAGAGGTGGAGAAGGAGGACATTGAGCAACATGCTGGCGACCTCCAGGAACACTTAAACTCTGTGCGGATGACCAGAAAAGGCCTTGCCATGAGGAAAAGTTAGACATTTGCTACGGAACTGCATTTTCCGGACTATAAGCCGTTACTTTTTCCCACGCCTTGAACCATGCGGCTTATTATGTGGTGCGGCTTTAGTCAACCAGAAAGGATGGATGCTGGAAAGTTTGATGAAGGAATGGTTAAAAGAGTGCTACGGGATTTTTTTCACAGTAAAACGACGCTGCTTGTTTCCCCAGCTTCACCCGGGGAATGATGACAGCAACACGGAGAGCGACACTGACATCGCCACAGAAAAGGTGTGTGAAGAAGCTCTTCTGAGGCTGTTCAACTCCGACACTGAAGAAGATGACTTCAGTGGTTTCAGTGTGCAGGAGGACGATGAATAAACTAATCAATAACTTTTCTGTTTTGTTTGATACTGATCAGTTCAGTTACGTTCAGTTAAACTACGTTTTTAATTCAGTAGATATCTGCGGCTTTTAACCCGGTGCGGCTTATATTGAGGTGCACTCTATAGTCCGCAAATTACGGTAATGCATTTTAAAATGCTAAATGCAAAGAATGCATCGCCCCCTTCCTCATTAGAACACTGGACGTTTTATTGTCTGGTTGCACATGTTCTATAGCTGTAAACATTTACTGCTTTCAGTAAGGTGCCACGGTACAGGATTGTTTTCTGCAGACCACACAAAAATTAAATAAGGTGCTGAAAAAAGAAGTAGTTGCAAAAGTACTCAAGTTAGCATCACTAATGTTAAATACGACGAGTGACTTATTTAAAGTATCTTTCCGGAATTTTCCCCTTTCAATCAATCAATCAAACTTTATTTGTATAGCACTGTTCGTTTACAAGCTCAAAGTGCTTTACAGGTTAAAATCACCCCATATAGCCCATAATCCCATCATTTCCCCAAAAATATAAAAATAATTATGACAGTCCCCCCCCCAACCCCCATTCCACAACTCATTTCCTAAGGAATATTGCCCCCCCCACCCACCCACCCACACACACACTTGAACAACAAATACACATATGCACACACACAAAACTTAGAATAAATTAATTAATTAATGTATTTATTTATTTATTTATTTATTTATTTATTAATAATCATAAATAAACACTAGGCTGAGTTCAGATGGGTTAGGTAACGAATGACACGCCATCAGGTGAGCCATCTGCATCGGTAGTAGTCGATCGACGGCAGCAGCCAAGGCACCAGCCCAGGACTCCCAGGGAGGTAGGGCGAAAACCCCCACATCCGCCTAAGCACTCCCCGAGGTGCACCCAGGCCGCCACAGTCGACCACCACCCCCGAGGCAGAGGGCCCCACAGAGAGAAACACTGGCACAAACAAATAAGTAACATAAAAAATAATAAGAGGTAATATGGATAGTAAAATAAATGAAAAAGTGATTAAAAGAATGTAAAACACTAAGACATAAATGTCTAATAAAACTAAAATAAAAATAATAAAATAAAAATAAAACAAGCAACACAGCTAAAAACAGATATCAATTCAAAGCTCACCTGGGCTCTCCCATCGTTTTTCACCCCCACTTCTCTGCCTAACGTCTACTTCCTGAAACAGCACTAGAGTGTGTGTTCCACAGGAAACGACTCATAAGGCATTCATTCATACTAGAGACCACAGCAGATATGTTGAAGTGATGAGGGCATGCCCACTTTAATAGACACCACCAGTATAATTACAATTATTTATAAAATTAACACATGTTGGATTATTGTTGAAGTCCTACTGGAATCACATTTCAAAATAAATCTATAGTTTTATTTTGAAATGTGATTCCACCATAGTGAAATGACAGGTGCAACTAGTAAGAACTATTTGTTGTCTGAATGGTGAAAGTTCATTTAAGTTAAAACTATTTTAGAGATTTAGAGAAATTCTAGATTTTAAAAGACCAACGTATAGCAAATATCTAGAACAGAAAACACAAAATACACATAATAAGGAACAAATTTAACAATTTTTCCTGGAAATAATGTCTCTTTGCTAATGACTAAGAAAGAAAAACAACTACTAGGAATCTGATTTTTTTATCATTAATATCTGCCACGTACACTACAGGCCAAAGGTTTGGACACACCTTCTCATTCAGTGTGTTTTCTTTGTTTTCATAACCACTTACATCGGGAGATTTTCACTGAAGACATCAAAACTATGAATGAACACATGTGGAGTTATGTACTAAACCAAAAAAGGTGAAATAACTGGAAACATGTTTTATTTTCTATTTTCTTCTAAATTGCCACCCTTTGCTCTGATGACTGCTCTGCACATTCTTGGCATTCTCTTGATGAGCTTCAAGAGGTAGTCACCTGAAGGACTACCTCTGAATGAACGAGAAGGTGTGACCAAACTTTTGGCCTGTACTGTATGTCTAATTCAGCCAATACAGGCTGAAACATCCATTTAAACATTTTTATGAGTTTCAGTGCGGATGCCCTGATCCTGGATCCGGGTCCTGATGATGGCCTTTTTCATTGATTGTTATTGGATGGGTGTGGTGCCACTCTTTACAGCGCCAAAGAAAAGAACCACTTTGATCAGGAGCTGGATGCTGGCAGGAGTGCAACAACCACTAAATATGTTGAGTGCTTTTGATACATTTTCTGAGTTCGTATCACTTTTACTTCACTTAGTTTAAGACAAAATAAACCTCTTCAGCAGGAAACGTATTAAATTAGCTGTAGAACACCATGAGCTTGTTGTCTTTCATTTCCTGCAGTTTGTGTTTGTTCTGTTTTATTCAACAGTGAAAGTGGGATAGATCCCAGAGTCAGGCTGCCTTCACAGTCACTTTAAAACTAAAT